TTTTTAACAGCAAAGCTGTTTTAGCAGCTATAAAATACTTGTTTCTAATGTCTGATAAGCATGGCGCTTACATTTATGCTCTGCCCTTGTCCTAACAGAATTATGCCGTGACAGTGAAGAACTCTGGGTGCAGAGGGAGATTGAGTATGTCAGAGCCTATACGCTACCACGGATGGGTATTTTCTCTGCAGTCTCAGCCTGAATTAGAAGAACATCACAGATGCATGGCACATTGGACAAGGAACACATGCATGCATTTAAATCATGTATATCTTACTTTTTTACTGATGTAATTGTGAAATATGTTCTTTTTGCATTCATAATTAGGGGGTGGAACAGATGGTGAAGGCTTAGTTTAAAATAATCTGTCATTAAAATAACCTAGCCTACTGGTAATTCTTCTCTCTAACTGGAGTTAAGTCATAGGAAAAGAGTTAAGGGTGATTTTTTTTCCCCTTCTCTACTGGAATGTAGAAGAAAGAACCACTAATTTCAGAGTGATTATATACTTGAGAATTGGCCCTGTAAGAGCACCATAGTAAGATTTCACTCTGTGAAATTTGGCTGCAGAGGAATATGCATAAAAAGGAAAGCAGAAACAAAACTCCTTTGACAACTATAAATCCATTTAGCACAATGCATTAAACATTAGTATACCTTCAATCATGAAGCTTTAGTTAGTTTCATACCCTGCAAGGAAATAACCTCATCATTTGATAAATACTGTTAGAAGCATTCAGCTTTTGGGGTTAAGAAGCTGTGCCTTATACTTTATATGTTATACTCATGTCAGGGGATATAAATTATAATTACAGGCATTATTATTCAGAGATACTGTAGCTCCTGACTTCTATATCCAAGCCTCACTCCTTGTGTGTGTACCTCACAGACTTACTGGGATGTGACAAAGGAAATCTCCTATCAGCCCTGTCTGGATGGCCAAAAACTGTTTTCAATAATAAGAAAACTGTCTTGATAAATCAGATACTTGCCTGTCTTTAAAATGTCTGTTTTACTGTTTCTTCTAAGATTTTGTTCTCCATCTGCTTTGAGGAAAGCAGATAGATTTCAGCAAGGCTTTATAATAAATCTTCTTGAGGAGGGACTAGCATTAACATTTGTGTAAGTTCTTTTTCATCTTAATCCAACCTTAGTTAATAATCAGAAAATTCTACATAGTGAGTAAGAAGATGTAATTAACCCTTTGACCCCAGAATCTTAATTGGCGCCTGTTGAAAACAGTGGGCAGTTAAAAAAAATCAAAAAGTAGCCTGCAGTGATTGAACATCGTGGTAGATAATAGCTTTCTCAATTCGAATTTTTAAAAAATTCGACAGAACTTTCAGATTAATCACATTTGGTTTCTAAGACTGACTGAATGTTTTCTTCCTCCTCCCACCTTTTTAAATTGAGACACCAAATTAAACCAACATGGATGCTACTCTTCAAACTTTTTTAAGCGGAAAAACACAGCTAACTATTGACAGAGTTGACCCCGAATCAGAAGGTAATAACTGTGTCAAATAAAATGACCTTGGCAATCTATCGTAGACCCAATTTTATATTCCATTCTTTATTTGAAAGGTAATCAAACCTGAGTTATGGGCATTCGTCTCAGACTATGGATCTAATTTATCAAAATGATAAGTATAAAAGTGAAAAACATGGTTAATTAACCAATTGTGTGTGTGTGTGTGTGTGTGTGTGTGTGTGTGTGTGTGTGTGTGTGTGTGTTTTACCTCTGTGATGACTAACAACTAATCTGACTAGTGGCTTTTCCCTCTACCAAATTGGTCGTTATTTTTAATTGAATTGACTGGATGTCTTTGTGTCATATAGACATAGGCTCATTTGAATCTCACCAGGAAATTGGAACATGTGTTGAAGCCTCTGTTTTTGCCAAACAAAACTGGCCAGTTCTTAGATCTCTGCCGCTTCATAGCATCAGATGTTTAGCCTCCAGATATTTCTTTTCCCTGCTATGTTGCCCACACCTCTTCAAGTATTTTAGTAAGTACATGAGATCTGAACCTAGTGTTAAAAGTCACAATCCCCTCTGGTGAGGAAGTAAAGAATATGTGTAGATGGAAAATGGCACTGCTATTCAGGAACAGCACTAGGTGCTTTGGAGGACATAAAAAATGTCACTCTAACTCTGATATTCCAAATATCAGGAGATATCTCAGACCATAGTAAAAATCTGTGGCATCTGAATCTTCAATAATCTAACAGATTCTTGAACAGGTCTCTGAAAAAATAATTTCCATTCTGCTTAGTCATTTTGGTATGTGTGATATAAGGGAAAGAAGGTATTGAGCTTGGAGAGAGAATTGGATTAAATAAGTCTTGATTGAGCAGCTGTTAGGTGCTGGCTGGACAAAGATAAATAAGGCATTGCCCCACTGTTGATAAATTCAGTCGGCTTGGGAGTTGAGTAAGCCAACCAGGACCATACAGTGTTGTAAATGCCATAATATTATGGGAGTGCAAATTGAAACCTGGCTCTGCCACTAACAAACTGTCTGATCTTGTCCAGCCACTAGCCTTTCTGTGCCTCAGTTTTATTACCTGTAAAATGAGAGTTTAGACTATGGGACATTTTCTCCATACCAGCTTTATTAGTGCTTTCTTCTGATCCCAACCAGTATCCCAAATGTCACAGGTCTTTGTAGAAGTTCTCCCGTGGTCTCTCTCTGTGTTGTCTCTCTCATTTGGACAATGGCATTTTAGGGTTGAAAAGATGGCTTGCACAGTTCTCTGTGACCGTATACCAGGCCATGGCTATCAGGTTGATTGGAAACCAACAAGCTCTTTTTTCCAAGGGACTGGTTACAAAGAGAAGGGTCCTAATTCTCATGAGTCATCCTTAAAAAACATCTTGCTTGAGGTAGACATGTAGAAATGAGATCGTTCCTAAACTTGGAGGAAGAAAATATCTCTCCCTTCGCACTGGTTCAAAGTGTGGTTCCACTATACTACACTTTGTATGGTTTTATATGACAGGGTTCCAGAGGGTTTGGCAGTTTTGCGAAGGTAAGGAGCCCAGTTCTCTTAGACGGCATTTTATTTCTCATAGTTGGTTCCAGGGGAAATATTACAGAGCAAAGGTGACCTGGTGACCCCTTGTGGAAATAACTTAAGAATGTTCTTGTCATCACTTCTTCGTCTTCTGCCCCTAATGGTAGGATTCTATCATTTGAACAAGTCTTCAAAAACAAGTGATGATTTTTAAGAAGTCGCCGGCTACCTCTTAGTATGAATATTTTAACTTCAGAAATGCTGTGAATATTTATATTATCATTAATTCACACATATCAATTAGAGAAACTTTATTTTTAATGGAAGGAAGTATAGTTAATTATTGAGTCCAAAAGCCAAGGATTAAATCTAAACTCCAGACTAGGAACAGACTTGTTACCAAATTTTGCTAAGCCTCAATTTCCTTGTATAGAAAACGTAGATAATAATATAATAACTTCATAGAGTACTTGTAAAAATTAAAAGAGACAATACATGTAAATTGCTTAGCACACATGGTTTAAGAAACTTAAGCTGTTATTAATGTATTATCCTAACTAAAAGCTTGTCTATTATGTAATTTGCTCTTTTATGGAGAAATATAATATGACTTTTGAATTATTTTCAGAACCCAGTAAATTAGAGGAGAGAGTTTGGTGCCATCCACAATTTCTGACCCGTTGGGCAGTGAAAACGGGTCAAGAAACATAGAAATCCAAATTTTTTATATTCATATAAATATGCGCTCACACATGCTCAATACATGCATGTCTATAAGTATATATAATTTGTATATACTTGCATATTTTCCCTAAAATTAAGTATTTTAGGAGGCTGAAATTATTGCTAGGAATTGATTTAGTTATTTCTAACATGCTTATTTCATCTTTGTTTATTTAAAAAACTGTGTCATTTTAATTTAGTATTCTCACATACCTTGTTCCTAGTGTGGATTTCCTGTATTTTCAAATTCATAGCCTTTGTTAACATTGCTAATATTTAAAACTTCTTTTCTTGTGCAAGCAGCACTTGTGCAGTCTACTTAGTTAAAAATAAATAAAGCAAAACAAAAGATGCGAGGATGATGGAGGGTATGAAATGCACTTGGATTGCAAGAGTTTGAAACAAATTTATTCTCAATTTGAGTGGTATACTGCAGTTGGAGTTCATGATGATTTATACCATCCATCAAACTGAACATGTAACCCTCCATTTGGAAAGTGGACTGAGGTTTTAGGAGTTACAGATAGTGTGTAGCATCCCCCTCCACCCCTTCCTTCCTTCCTTCTTTCTTCTTGCTGTCTTTCTTTGGCCTTTCTGTCTTTCTTCTTTCTTTTCCATTTCACGAGTTGTGGTAGAAACTAGATCTATCCCTATAAAGCTTTAACACAGAGTTCTGCAAAATAGGATTACAGTTTGTAAGATGGCAGCCCATAAGCAAATTCACCTATAATGTATCAATTTTTCCTATTTGTTCTAACATAATGGGCACTGGGAATAAAGAAGGCATAATTCTTTATTAATTAGTAAATTACTGATGTCCATAGTAGTTTGAGTAGTGATTTTACTTGCTATTCATACAGAAACCCTTTTTTCCCCTTTATTTCATTATAGTCTTCATTCCTGTTCAGCTGTTTAATGGATAATCTTGCTGATTTAATCTCAGTAACTCCTGAATCCAAAAAAATAAAAGCATCATCTCGTAAAATCAGCATGATCGTATTTTATACATGAATGTAATGTATCTTGATCAGAATGACAGAGACATAAGGAAGTTCCCAAAATAAAGGAAAGCCTGCAGTATTAATTCAGGCCTTAATTTGTTAATGTATAATGCAATACTAGAAGATCTTAGGACTTTTGTGAAACATAAAGGAAAAATGACTGTAAATTCATGTGTTGCTTTTTCTCAGTTGCCATATTAATTAGATTTCCATCATATATATTTATTAAACTATTTATATGTTTGTTTTCTCCTGCAGTCCCTGGATGGCTTTGTATTTGCACTAAATCAAGAAGGAAAATTTTTGTACATTTCCGAAACAGTCTCCATCTACCTAGGCCTCTCACAAGTAAGTAAAACTATTTGGATTCTTGGCGGCGATTGTGGAGGCTTCTTCAGCCTTGTGTTTTTCCTTCTTCAAGAAATATTCTGTTTAGTATGAATTATCAAATTTATTCTTTAATGACTCTACCCGACTGCTCTCTCAAAGTCAGTGAGAAACCTGTGTGCCAGTGTTCGACGTTCAGAATAAACTTGTGCTCAAAAACTTTAGCCCCCCTCCCCACCCCCCAAGGATCATTATTAATTTATTGAGAACAAATGAAGTTTCTTGCCTTGGTTGTTTTGAACTTTGAAACCTCTGTGCCCGGTAGGAGAGGGACACACTAATAGTGCTTCCCTTGTGTCCTATTACTGGATGTTTATGGAGTACCCTGCATTATCCTGGGAGCTGACACAATGGCAGGAGTCATTTGGAGTCAAGAAATGCTGAAAGAGACCATTAAAATGTGTTGCAGGGAGGGTTCCAGCAAGGATATATTTGCTGCCTTTGCAAATGCTTCTGAATGCTAAAAGACAATTTCATAAAAAAAGATAGTGTTTCATTATTTGTCATTTAATTACTCACATGTGTTTTTCAAAGGGTAATACAAAAAAATATGGAGGCTAATGGGGCAGGGACAAAATCCTGGATATCAGTGCTCAATATTCCTCTGGAACACGAAAATTTTAGTTCCAGTGGATTCCAAGACACAGGCTGTATGTACCGAATGCCAAAATATCCTGAAGCAAAATTTGCGATTCAGCTAATTATCCAGATGTTTTTTCCATGAAAATGCTGAACATCTGGGTTTTTGTGCCTGTACAGGTGACTGACTGAGTTTGACCCTTTTCATCTGGTGGTTTGGCGTGAAGTAAACACAGCTTCGGTGGGAGGGATTTTGTATACGTGTGATGATCCGCCAAGTTGGATGATCTGTCTCTCATTCAGTTGCTCCGTGAAGCTAAAGATGGAAGATAAGAGTCGGCTCTCTCCTTTTAAGTAGGACCCACCCCAGACTCATTGCTTCTGAAAGTTGGCACAGCTCTAAGGACACATCTAGCACTGCTGGAACCTTTGGCTGTTAGTGAGTTTGCTGGGTAATAGCTAGATCAAGAAAGATATTGAAAAATATTGAAGAGAGATATTTGGCATTGGAAGAGGGTTGGAGGATGAAGAGAAATGCTGCCAAATTTGATAATGTACTGTTGAGAACCCAAACAAGGGTCTGGTCTATTAATGCTTTCTTGAAGAACATGCAAGCCATTGGCTATAGTGAGTAGAGTAATTCTGGTTCATGTGAACTTCAGTAAATCAAATGGTAGAAGCTGAGCTATTGTTAACTCGATATTAGTATTCTTGTATCTCATTGAAATCTCTGGTTTTCTAATAGCCTTTAATAGACGTTAAGCCTTGTCTTAATCTGTCTGGGGCCTAGTATTGGGAATCTCCATTTTTGAAATTGGTGCGCCACCATGTTGTTATTACTGTATAGGACTGGAAACACTAGTGTTTGTTGTTCTGCAATGCCCATATTCATCTGTGTTACGTGGAATATCCAACAAAGTTTAATAAGCCAGTAAAGAAGAAGGATGAATAATTAGCTTAAGCAGGTAAATGCTAATTAGGGAACTCCTGAAAAGCATCCATTATATACTAGCTCAAAACACATTTTACAGCCCTGGTTAGTGGGGTAATCCAAATTCTGTCAAGGCAACTGCATTTTCTGTAATTGAGATGTGTATGTTTGCTTTGCATAACAGATGGCTCTGTATGCTTAGACTGATAGCTAGGAAAATAATAATTGCATTATTCTGGCCAAAAGAATATTAGCTCTTGGGTTTTGGCCATTTCAGTCAGTCCTCCTGCCAGCACAGCATATGCACATATATGGATTGGATTTTCAAGGAAATTGATGCATCTGGAATAGTGTGGCCATCTGAAATATCATCTGTTCAAGAAAAATTTGGCTTTAACCCTGTGCTTGTTTCTCCTTAAAAGCAGTTTATCTCACTGCTTCTCTACTATATCATCCTGTCAATCTTTTCCTAAAATCTGAGACAAATAATTGAGGTTTCTGCAGAATCAAGCAGCTATGTAGCCATGGCACAGTAGCTGGCAACTTCTGCGTAGTCAGTTTCTGCTTTTATACATAATGTACTTTAAGGTGCATGCCAGTAGTCAGCATCTTGACTTACCCAGGAGGAGACTCTGGCCAAAATGTGCTGTTACCTTCTTCTATGGTGGATGTGTTCAGTTTTGGCAGAAATCATCAAATATGCAGGTAGAGGAGATGAGACATGAGGTCTTCCTTTGGCAGCACCGCATACCTGAGATGATGAAGGGTACATCGGTGGAAAGTTATTTTTGCATATACCAATGTATGTATTTAGAATTTGAAACTAAAGTTTAAGAAGAGTTCTGGATTAGCATGAAAATAATCTGATAAGAGCATGATATATGTTTTTAAATGCCAAAACAGGAGGGGGGAAATATCTATGATAAAACTTTGAGAGTTTTCATCTCAGTTAAATTTCAAAGTCCTAAAAGGGAAATTGAGTTCCCTGAGACACAACTCTTCCCAAGTTTTTCAATGCCTTTTTCAGTTGTAGGGGTTTGGGGGTGCTCAAGGATGATATGCAAAGTAAATATACTCTAAGTTATTCAATTAAGCATTTGCTCTTTTATAAATACATGCAGACACACACATACACCCTTAAGTAAATGCAAGCCAAACTCTCTGCTTGTTTTCTATAACTTTGGCTAAGTGAATATTTCATCTGATTCTAGACAGTGGTAAGTAGTCTATAAGTTATGATCTCTCCTTTTTTCAGTTTTGCTAAAGAAAGACAATGTATAACTATCATCAAAGACTTATCCAGTGAAATTGTTAAGGAGTGTTGTGAGCATGTCAATTTGTTACAAAGCATAGCTGTGACTTTATTTCTAACTCTCAAGATATTCCTTCCTCAGTTTTGTTTTCTTTCAACATGTAAATAAATATGGTGGCTTTAAAACGGCTTATGCTCGGGAAAGAGTTGGGATTCTTTTTCGGCTTGTTAGAAAACAAAGTAGGGAAATCTCTCCTGAGCTCTGTTGTGTAGCATGAGTGTTGAGACACACAGAATGGATCTTTCTCTTGGACACACTATTGAGTGGAACTATTCCTAGTGTCCAGGACATGTGGGTGCTGGGTATTCTCTGTAAAATATTCTCATATTTTTGTGATGATGGGAATGAGTGAACAATGATGATATCTGGACCTTCTCAGCAGCCCTTTTAACTTTGCCAGGTGTACATGTGTGTATGTATGTATATATGTGTATGCACAGATACACACATACCTATATATTTATATAACATCCAAGAAGTGGCTTCAGGTTTTAGAAATATGTGCTATTGACTTGTTTTCCTGTGTAAAAGCAATTCCCAGTTACTCACCATGGGGTCTTATCTTAAAAGAAGACCCCCACATACTGACATGCTGAGTTGTATTTGCCTAGAAATTAAATAACATCTTATACCTGGTGATGACATTCAGAGTTGTTAAAGACAACTCTGCTGTCTAGCTATAATGGAGCAAGTAGAAGTGAAAATGAAGAAAGAAAACAGAATAAGTTCCCTAACACTGAAAGTGTAGCAATGATATATAGCCAGCTTTTATGACATCTCTTCCAAAATGTAAGGGACTTAATCACCAGAGAATCCAAAAGAGACTTTACATGATAAAAAAAAAATTCTGGTTGATATAGGATTTAAAGCTTAGAGAAATATTTGTTTGTTGGCTTATACCCTCCTCTTTCCACAAGGATTTGAAATAGCTTACATAAACACATATGATAAAAATAATGTCAAAATAGAAATAGGGAATTAAAGAAAAAAGATAAGCAAAAGTAGATAATCTGTTACCATATAGTAGGAGAACACAAGGAGGCTCAACAGAAGGGATATAAATGGTCTAATGAAGGTTCAGATTCACCCATGAGCTTTATGGTAACCAAAGCAAAAAGGAAAATAAGTCAACCATCAAAAAAAAAATTGCTTCTTAAGGAAAGCAACATGTAAATAACTGGAACTGAAGTCTGAAAATAAATCTCATGTAGGATTTCTATAGAGGCTACCATGTAGATTATGACATATTGATTTGCTTCCATTGGAGTCCACATTCACAGCAAGACTGTAATGATCCCTATGGCAAACACAGACACGCTTATTACACATCTCAGAAGCAGGTAGAAGCCTGTTCCCCCATCAGCCGTGGGTGTGTGGAAGACCATCTCAAGAGTGGTATTCCATTCTGGCACACAGGTCTCATAAAAGCATTGGCTAGTTTGGGGGTTTACATGGCTTCAAATCAGCTTTCCTTCATTCACACTCAAATTCTGCCTTTTCTTTGAAATTCTCGTGAGACAGACAACATTATAGTTGCTAGAGGCAGAGGACATAGGACTCACGTACCCAGAGGATACGAATGGACTTGTATCTTCTGAAAACATTTTCCCTTGAAACTGAGGTAAAGGAGGATGAGTCTGAAGAACACAGTATGTTTCCAAGTTCACATAGAGTCCTGTTTACAACAAAATGGGATCTAGAGCAGACCAAGAAATCAACACATTTTTATGGGGTGATATCATTAGAAAATATCCCAAGTGCTAGCTAAAGCCTGTCTTGAACTGTGTTCTAATCACCCCAGACGACTCCTGTACCTGGCATGCACATTCTGAGTCATTTCCCTTCTTCTCACCAAGACCCCACCCTCATATAGTATATTTCCTGGTGATTGTGAGGCAGCCAGAAGGTAGCTGCAGACAAGGTTACAAATTGGCTTGATACATGGCAGCTTGCTGAAAGGGGCAGGGTGGCTGCAGATATAATAAGAGCTAATAGAGGTGAAGGTGAAAAGGGGTAAATAGGTGTTTTGAAATTGGTCTTTTGTCTTTTTAAGCCATACAGATATATTTACCATAAACTCTTCTCCCTATCCTGTTGTTCATCTCCATATTTTAGAGTTCTCTGCATTTGTTATATAG